CCCCTCCCCCAGCCCAGCCAGCAACTGGGCCGCGGGAGAGACTCAACTCCTTCACCGCCGGAAATCCAAAGAGGAACTGCCAGGGGGAGAGCCCTGCTTTTACCCTGTGTTCTCGGTGGTGGATCCCATTTGCCCAGTGGTTAGGCCAGATGGCAATATTCAAAACAGACCACTCATTGGCCCCATCCACACAGCATCCCAGAAATCCTGTTTCCGGGTCAAACCATGACACTGGGTCTATGAAGAGCCAGGCAGATTCTTTTAAGTAGGTAGAATGGGCATTACAGATTAGACAGCCACATCCTAGAGGAACTTCTTTCCATTTTATTCTCCTCTTTTCCTTCTCTGTTTACTTGTGGTTTTAATTTCTTTGAAGGGAACCTAGACAGATTTGATCTCTTGATTCCTTTGTACTATTCACCTAAAGGAGCAATCAGAAGCTTACCACAGCATGTTTTGATTTGTCTAGGTTGTTCACATCACTTCTTTTAAGAATATGAAACTCCTATGCTTTCGGTCACCATTTTTTTTTCAAATTGTGTTATATTTTATTCTACCTCTGAAATAAGAGGAAATATTTGCTACTATATTACATGTGGGAGGAATCAAGGAGAAATCTTCATTTCATCTGCAGGTTCACAGGAAGACTAGAGAAACATGAAACATAAAATGAACAGTGTATTTTCTTCCCAAAAATCCCTTTCAGTTTAAAGCATCTCTGTTTGGCAATACATATAAATAGGAAATCTCATCTGTCACGAGATTCACAGAAATTATTTAATATCAAAATTTCAGTAAATCTCAATGCTTTAGTTTGTTTCTGCCTAGTTTTACAAAATGTGACCTCAGTAGCTGAGGTAGCCAGGAATCCTACCATTTGACAGACACTATTCCCTTAGAGCTTACTGGGCCAGCCAGCAAAGACAACCCAGAGGCCACATAAATATTTTAAGAATTGAGGAAACCAATTAATTCTGACTGTATGATGCAGAACATAATATTTTTCTTGCATGTGCAGCACACAGACATTTTGCTTCTGTACATTTCCAGCTCCCCAAGGAGACTGTGGTGAAATAGCAAAGCAAAGATCTGCACTGATTAATTGACAAGTTTCAACAAAATATTTAGTTTCAATTTTGTGTGTCTCCAACCAAACTAATAAAAGGAAATGGTAATTTTAGATACTGCTGTAAAACTGTCTTTTACAATGAACTTCTTAGCAGGTATTCTACTGTTCACAGAAGTCTAGTAAGAATAAATTTTTTCTGGAGCACAAAAAATATTTCTTAAGATTTAGGAGCCACAAAATATGACCATGGGGAAAAAAATATCACAATTTTTCTTGGGTCCATTGATATAAACAGATGAAGTAAGAAAATACAGGAAAAACCCCAAACAGTGTGGAGCCAAAGATATGGTCAGAATTGGGTAAGAAATAACTGAGCAACAGTAACAGGAAAAAGGGGTAATTGCTGAGGGAGAATATCATCATGCATTTATATGCTTGTTTCCATGTGCACAGTTTTGAGTCTAATAACAAAACCACTGGATTATGAAATAAAAGTTTCAGCACAGTCTGTCTTAAAAATTGCCATGGATTTTCAAGAACCTTTGAAATTAAGCTCTTCAGTTTTCCTCAATACCTTCAGTTCAAGAGAATCAGACTGAAATGTATGCTACAGAAGAATATGGAATAATAAATTGTTCATGCCTTGAAAATGATAGTGTCTTGCCCTTCATTTTTGTCTTACGAAAGTCATGTGCCATCAGTTTAATACCCTTCTGCAACAAGGACATGCAATGAGAAAATCCATATAAATTGCCATGTAGAGAACCAGAATAATCCAAATTGGAAAGAATCTAGGTTTGTTTTTTGAGTTTTTTCATATATTACATTTATTCATAAGTTAAATATATAAAAAAATTATCATTAAAGGATATCCCATCTTTGCACCTATAAAATTACAGTGGTTTTTTTAGTCAAATCTATTGTTCAAAAACATAATCTATCATATATAAAATGTACTATAAACATACACACATTCATATAGATACTACAGAAGTATCAAGTACCACTTGTATGAAATTATCTATCCTCAGTAGGCAAACTTGCTGATGTTTCCATAATTTACTTCTCAAGTTCTCAACTTCTGTTATGCCTGTATATTGACTCTTGTAAAGGAAGGAATTTTTTAAAATACTTTTTAAAATATTAATATCGTGTGATATTGTTCTGGATAAGGTAAAATATGACATTTCCTTTGTGTACTTTTTGGTTTTATTCTACTTAATTGTGGGAATTCCAACTTTTCAATGCAAAAGCAGCTTAGTCTAGAGAACCTGCACTAATGAAACTTCCAAGTGCTATTATTATCATCTGTTATTTTGTTTTGGTTTGGTAAAAGCCACATTTTCATCAAGGAATTACTTTAAAATAGTCATATATTGGTAAAAATTCAGAATAAAACTTTGGCAATTCTTAGCTCATTAACAAACCACAGTGCAGTGGTGAGGTTGTTAAATATCTTAAATGGCTTAATATGAACTTGAGTGTTCACTCTATTAGAACTGATGTGGGCATAGCTTGTGCTTTCTTTGTGATCTTCAACTTTCCATTGAAAATGGGTGCTTTTAGTTATGTGGTTTTGGATTTGGTTTGGTTTTAAGAGAGATTATTGCAGTTCTGATGTATGAGGTTGTTCTAAAGCCACTTCTATATATTACTATTTTCTCTCATACCATGCTACCTATGCTGTAGTGCTCCAGATCTGTTCCATCAGGATTCATTTAATCTCTTTCCCTGAATTACATTCTTATGGAGTATTTCCTTTCTTGCTCTATACATCCAATCATAATTTCATTATTGATCTGTCCTTTGGGGAAATAAATTGTAAACACTGAAAGATACTGGGGACAGAAGATTAGGAATATGAACAGGCACACTTGTTTTTGCCAATTATTTAATTAAATTTTTGTCCATTACTCATACTAGAATGTGAAAAATACTTCTATGAAACCTTTCTGTTATAAGGCAAAATATATCTGGTGAGGTGGCTTCTGAACTTACAGGGCTGAGTAAATCTTGGCATTCAGTTAAACATATGGCAACAGGGATACTGCTTTGAGACTGTCTCCACAGCTGGGCTGCAGAGCTATTCATGTAGGCATTTCTATAGCAACTGATTAAAAATTCCACAGAAAACTGGTGCCAGTAAATAAAGAAAATTACCTTGAAAGTTTGAATGGCCAGGTTCCATATACTTCAGCTGAAGCTTAGAGCTTTCACACTAAGCCTACCAATTGCTGTTCAGAAAGCTTAGTCATATTGTGCTCATTTTTGCCAAGTTCTTCTCCACAGCAATTTTGTTAAATACATCAGATAATGGCGCGACTATGTTCTACAACCAAGCACAGAAATCTGAAGGTCTTTCATATTTCTGTTTAACTCCTTTTCTCCTTTACCCCTGACATGGATTTATCAATAATGAAACAATTAGTGTTTCTAACCTTTTCATGACCGGCAGCTTTCAAAGAGTCAGAGGGGGATTAGGGAGAGGGGATAATCCAGAGAGCAGGGA